GGGGTGGGGCTTCTGGTTACCATGGATACGTCAAACTCGAGAAAACAATAGAACTCCTTTCCATCACAATACCTTTTCATTTGCATCACAATACCTGTCAAATCTGTACTGGACTAGCCCATACCACTACTATAGAGTTCATTCTCTTTCCTTGGACTTGAGGTAACACAATCAGAATTATCTTCAGGCTGAGATAAGACTGTCATCTTTCAATAAACCAAAATAGAAGACGTTTGGTTTTACGCTAGCCAGTGAAGGATTTCGTTTCCGCTTGTCATTCCAGTGCGGTTTCACATCACTTCTTTCGGCTCTCTTTCGGTTCCTTTTGTTCTTTGGGAAACAATGGACGAAAAATTCGTCTGTATTCAAAGGCTATTTTTAGATTAGATTTCTGAATTCTGAAGTGTTCATTGCGTTTGCAACCAGTCACTGAGAGAAGAGATCGAAAACCGCTTGAGCAGTCAACATTATTTTCAACTGACACCACGGCCGTTAGCAAAGATTAGAAAGTAGTGGATTTAAATAGTTTATTTAATATATTTATTAGATTTATTTTTGTTATATGTAGAATGCTGGCGCATGGTTCACGACACACGCGGAAATTCGACAGCGCGCAGCGGCTTGTTGGAAAGGGTTTACAGTCCTACGTACGCAACTAAGAAATGTGCGAGAATTTACTCCTGGGCACTGGCAATGAATCGAACGTTTAAGAGATACCCTAACAGCTGAGTAATGTACGGTCAACACTAATTTTCTCGCAATTTTGTCGCGCAGCAATGCAGCAATGCCAGTAAAATAATGTTCTCTCAACAACATCTGAATACACGAGCAGACATAAGACTGCCTTCACTGGATTATCATCTGACAAAATGTTCAGCATTCTATTCTATTTCGCTTCTCTCAGCCGAATAGAACAGATTTCTATTATACTTAAAGGAGACAAGTAATGCAACAAATGGTGGAGGGAGCCGGCAGCAATAATCGAGTTTATTTACAAGAATCGGAGACACGTTGAATACAGGATACAAGCCAGAGAATAACAGAAAAATTGCACGCTATTTTAAACAACGATACTTACAATAAGGGAAAACCAAGAGAAAATGAGGTGATCATGGTCTCTTGGGAAAACACAGGCACGAGTAAACTGGTCGGCGTCAAGTGATGTGATGTGATATTCACAAGGAGTGGTATATAAAGGTGTGATTATCCCAATAGGAACTAATACAAAGCAACCTAATTAAACACCTATAAAAGAAGTACATTTTAGTGATTGTAATCAGTGGACAGAGTGGAGTACAATTCACTATATATTCGTAATAGCAATACACCGAGTTGATTACAATTCAGGGAGTAACTGCGCACCAGTAATTTTAAAATCTGAATTCTAGATTACGAGCACCATTTCTCCTTTAATTGTGCGACGTGAGGTCCAATTACTAATTAATCGTATTTATGACAAATTTCGAAATAAGAAAAAGTCTTTGGGGAACTTCTTTTGAGCGAAAAAGTCAGTAACGCTTTCCACAAGTTTTAAAAGCTGTAGGGAACACTAAGAAGGAAGCCATTAAAACACCCGGAATTGCGTGGGAATCATGGGTATCCAACTACAAGAAGTTAGACACCCACGTGATTGCGCGGCAACTCAGTACGTGACAAATAGGCGCGCGGAGAACTTATCACGATCGAGAATTTTGTTATAAATACGATTAGTTGTATAACTATTACGTGTAACCCTCTTTAAATAAAGTTTGATTGATTGATTGATTTAACAACAATACTAATCTTAAATATCTATCGTTTCACTGGTTACAAGGATTTAAACACTTTTTGAATGATTTACAATGAAGCTCAACTACGGCCACGTATGAGAAACCTAGAAAAAAATAGGTCTGCGTGGTGTACACATTGTTAATGCTTAGTCTGTGAACAATGACAGTTCGAGTGCAGCAATGAGGTGGATGGTAATGGATTATTACCCGTCAGGCTTTTGGATTACATGATGACACATTTGCCTTCACTCGCTTCCGATGACTGGACAGGACGAAAAAATCTCCAGGGATTGCGGCTTTTCAATTGCTGATTGCTGAGGAAGCCTTTGAATATTCTCGCCGAATAAGAGTTCACAGTTCTTTCGACATTCGAACGCGTTCGGAAGGGTAGTTCAGTTTTCAAGATCCATTCATCCTTGTCAGGGTCATAACATTCTACTCTTGTATGAGATGGCGAGGACTCAACATCCGACATGTAGCTACCAAGAGCATACAGTTGTTCACCAACTGGACAAAGCTTGGGACGTGCCTCCGGTCTGATGTTTAAGATTGCAATAGACTGCCATTCATTCGTTGTTTCACTATATACTTCACATTCACATCTCGGTGACATCACAGTTACTCCTGCAGTTACCAGTTGCAACCCTCCAGTGATGAAAACTCTCTCGTTGCACGCAGCTCCGCTAACGAACTTTTTTGGTCGTAGAAAGTCCGCTACCTTGTCCCATTGGTTTCTGCTAAGATTGTACCTGTAAACATCAGTGTAGCACTTTAACAACTCTTTGCCATTCCTTTCAAGTATTTCTTCACCGCCAATAAAATACACAAAATTGTCTTTGGCTACAATGCAGAAATTTTCTCTTCTATTCAAATGATCAAATGAAGTTACATCTTCCCATGAATTTGATTCCACTTTGTACTTCCTGATAGAGGAAACACATTTTTCCCTATCATTGTTAACCTCTCTGGACCAGCGGTCTCTTCTGTATTCCACAGCTCGCATTTCAGACACCAGAGCGTACATTTCATTGTCATTACTAACAAATATTTCCCGTAATGCCCGCCTGTTAACATCTATGTATGGTAATCTTGTCCAACAGTTCGAGTATGGATTATAGCATGCAAGTGCACGCCTCAGTTCAGACCATTGCCGGAATGAATCCAGTACCTTACTATATAATTTACTTCGATAAAAGACAAATTCTCCCTTCCCTGAATATTCACAAGGCATTTCACCTAGCTTACACCACCTACCCTCACCAGGAAAATAACACAAAATAGGTTGAGCACTCAGTTCCCAGTTAGGGCTGATGTCCTTGCGCATCGCGCTAGTGACAACTATAACAGAGGTCTCGAGCGACTTTCTGGCTGAAATGGAAAAATTACCATAGTTTTGTGAGTCAATTAAATTTATAGTGTCTACCACACGATTCAGACAGCATTCATTGTCTTTCACCAAATCATTCTTTAGAATATCACTGGAGAGAAAGTCACGCGATACAAAAACAAGTCGAAGGCGATCAAATAACTCGGCGAAATATTTCTGTCGTTTGTTTCTGTCGTGATCAATCCATGCCAGAATGATCTTAAACACGTCTTCTTCGGCGCCAACATTTATTTCATCACTTGAAAGCCACATTTGCATTTCTTTACTCGACATATTAAGAACCTCTTCACGGCTCGTTTCGTACACAGCGGTGAAATTTGCACAGATGTAATTTTCGCTCTTGGCCAAAAGTTCTTCGCATTGGTATCTTTGGGAAAAATAGTAACCGGAAATACAGTTTGAAGTATTCAACATATTTAATAAAGCTGCCTCAGCGAGCCTTTTTAAGTTTGCAAGAAAAAAATAATCGGCTGAAACAACAAGGTCTCGGGCATTCTCTTCAGCCAATATCTGAACATCACCCGTGTAAATAAACTGCAGTGTATTTCTCATAGCAGACTCGGAAAACATCTCCAAACGGACAATTCCTTCTCTGGACTCCTTCATGTCGCTGTTTAGTAGTTTTTCAAAGAAAGGACTTGCGTCTGAGAGAATTTGTTTATGAGCTTTGAATTCTTTGCCATCTTTGACCACCAAAATAACATCGCATCGCTGATCAGGTGTCTCTTTTGGCATAAAGGGTTCATTTTCTTTCCTTGGACTTGAAGTAACACGCTCAGAAGTATATTCAGGCTGAAATAAGGCGGCCATCTCTTAGCTTACCAAAATAGCAGACGCTTTGGTTTTAAAGACGTTAGACTGCGAAGGATTCTTGACTTTCCGCTTGTCGTTTCAGTGCCGTTTCACTTCAATTCTGTCGGCTCTATTTCGGTTCCATTAATTTGTTCTTTCGGAAATAACGATCGGAAAACTCATCTGTGTTCGTAGACCGTTCAACAGTGTTCTTTGTGTTACAACCAATTAGGGACGAAGGTTAAGAAAACCACTTGGTCCCTCCTCTCGATCGGTAGCAAGCGGAAAACACGATATGTTCGCGCATGGTTCACGGCACAGCGCAATTTCGAATGCAGCGTCATTGTCGTCCCCTGCGCTACTCGTCTTAAATGTCGTTGACAGGAAGTCGTCCTATTCCGTACCGGGCAAAAAGGAAATAAAAGAAATACGCTCCCGATGTTGTTCTGATATTTCAAGCCTTAGACTGTTAATGATATTAAAAGTAAAAACGACTAACAAATTGCCATTAGCTAAATATGCTCTCTCAGTTGTTTGTTGAAAATTACACCGTGTATAAATAATGGTGAAGGGCAAACCTACCAGGACGTGTATTGAAAAAGTTAATCATCGCAAGCGACTGAATCAAAGCTCACCTTACTGATATCAAACGTTCGCGAACCTACACAGTCAGCGTGCTGCAAAATTAAACACCACGATCGTTGTTCACGGATTGGGGAAATAAAGAAGACAAGTATAAACTGGTGTTTTCTTACACTTGCGTTCAGATGTTGAAATCCAGAATACTTCATCGACCACCAGTTTTACTCTGTTTCAAGCAATGTTCTCGCAGTTGGCATGTTGTTGTTATGATTTCTATGTAGAATCTAGCACCTGCTATTTTTCTCGGCTTTAACTTTTCTTTGGCGGGATTTTGAGGTTCTCCTTTCAACTTGCAAGGTAAAGTCCCATGGAAACTCTTCGCAGGAAGCTGCATTATAAACCCACTGATTTGGTTCAAATTTTCACTGCTCGAACAAAATTCAGAAATATTCCACATCCGCTTGTTTCGCTGTTTGTGTGGCCAGTCTCACATTTCCACCCAGACCACAGTATCGGTCAACAGAAAGAGTAACAGACAGAAACAGAAAACATAAACATTGTTTTCTCTCGTGCTGGTTGCAAATAATGCACCCCTCAATGAAAGAGGGTGAGGATTTCCAAAACAGTGACCTTTCAGTTATAAGATTGTACCACAGAATACGTCTTGAGCGCACGCGATCGAGTGAAG